CTAACATCAGATGCTTTGCTAAAGTATATAGAAGACATACTGCTACGATGCAGTATGGATGCAGATAAACTTGTTGCCACGGCTTTTGATGGAGCATCATCCATGGTACGACTCGCTGAACTTCTGAAAGAACATTTTGGCGAAAATATTATTCATATCCATTGTTTGGCACACTGCAACGAGCTTGTGTTTAAAGATGCCACAGCTTTGTCTCCGTTAATTGCTGATACACAAGATCTTTGTGAAGAATTGTATGTTCTAGTTGGCATGAGTCCTAAACGCGTCCTCCTTTTTGAGAACATACAGAAAGAAATCGCGCAAGATTCGGAAATGTCTCCAATTATTCTGAGCTTAAAAAAAAGATGGACAACAAGAGCATCCGCAGCTGTAGTGCTGTTAAAAAAACCCCGGACCTACAGGCAACTTTGAAGCATCTTTCAAAAGACCTAAGCGTAAAGCCAGAGTGTCTTTCAAGATCAAATGGATTGCGTGAGAAAAAAAATCAATACGACAGATGTTTCAACTGGTAGCTATGCATGAACTTGCAAATTTACTGGAAAATAATTCCAAGCAATTACAATGTGCATCACTCACCGCAGAACAGGCAGTTTACAGCATTAAGAAGCTTGAAGTGCGTCTTAAAGAGCTGCGGTCAGAAGAAGAGTTTCAACGTCTGTACGATCATGCAAAAAAGATTGTCGGCGACTTACAAGATGAAGATGAAACGCTAGCTACGCAAGAATCGAAGAGAAGAAGGTCAACTCCTCGACACCTGTCTGATTATGTCGCTCATTCCAATGCGCCTTCATCAGCAAGAGCAATGGACACTAGAACAGAACTTTTGCGTCTTTATTATGAAGCTGTTGATTCTGTCGTAGATGCAGAGCAGAGACGTTTTCACCAAGAGAATTTAAAAATTCTTGAAGTGATAGAGTCATGTCTTCTTGCAGCAGTGAATAAAACAATTCCCCTAGATGAAATTCGTCCAAAATTAGGACATTTACCTTCAGTTATGGATAAGGGCTCATTGGTGGTTCAACTAGGTGAACTACCAGTTGTATTAAAGCTTTTCAATGCAGAACAGTCTTTACCCATTAAGGAAGTCACGAGCCTCTCGACACTTTGCAGAATATTTAACGAAAGAAATAGCACCAAGAAATGTCTGTCTGAAGTGCATAAACTATTGAAATTTTACATGTCCGTTCCAATTAGTTCAGCTACAGCAGAGAGAAGTTTTAGCGTGATGCGTCACATCAAATCATGGCTCAGATCCACCATGTCAGAGAACAGCCTAAACAACAGAATGTTTGCTGCTATCTACAAGAAACGCATTGACGAGGTTTCCACCGAGAACATAGCTAAGGCGTTTGTAACGGCAAATGAGCGTTGCCGTAGTTACTTTGGAAGATATTAATAATATATATCTATACTATACCAAATCTTTTAACGTTAAAATAGATAATTCAGTTGCGTTGTGCTCGTATACGCAACTGACGTATTTTTTTATACATTTTTTTGCCTATAACGTAATATGTAATACATAATATGCATGATGCACGCTCTTCGCATTAAAAGTTACTGATCATGCTATTGAAAATACGTTATACTGTGTATTGAAAGTCTGTGTGTATTCATATGTTTAAGCGTCTCAAAATGAAAGTGCCCTTTTTCAAAATTCTGCCCCCGGAGCCCTAAATTGCTTCCAGCGCCTCTGAATAGCTATATACTTTAAATCTTTATGACATCAAATTTTAATAGAGCGTTTCTTGATTGCGTTGCAAAGGCAATTGAAAATGACTTAATAGCTTTTTCAATAGAGTCGTGTTATTATCTTTCTTTTGGAGATATGTAGCTAACACTTCTACAATATGCAAATGACATCATTTTGACATCACTTTGCATAATCAGCATTAAAAAACTTGTTTTTGTAGACTGTCAGTATTAAATGATTAATCTTTGTCATCTTTACAAATGCTCATCTATTACCTACACAGGTGTATTCATCAAATTTAAGAATTTATCGATATAACGCTGCAACGATGGGAAAAATTTATAATCATTAGAATATCATTATTCTTTGTCATTTGCATAAAGAAGAAAGTCCTAATTTCCAATATAATCAAACAATTCGTGATAAAATTTCGTGTCATATGCACTTTGAACGGTAACTATTGTACCTAGAAAACATGTACAATAAAAATTGGCGAGAGTGCTGTACTTATACATGTGATTTAGGTTACCATTTACATATGGCCCAGTCCTTTTTACTTTGTTATCATTAACCTCTACGAAACTAGCAACTGTTGTTTGCATAACTATTAAATTTCTCAATTTTTTCCTGCATTATGAGAGCCATCTTCACAGTCATGCTTGAAACAATTACATTTTCTCAAATACTCGCCATGCTTAGTTGTACATCTTTCTGATGCAAGGGCTGTGCTTTCAAAGCTCGTGCCTTTTACATTGGATTAAAACTGTTGAGTTTAATACCCCTTTAAAATTTATTCGTCCCCCTCTCCTTGACAAATGCAGTATCGTTATCATGCTATTGGTAATCTATTATGTAAAGAAATGAGGTTTTGAGAAAAGAGAACCCAATAGAAAGAACGACTTTATAAGAAGTAAAGACGGCGGAAGATATATATAATTTGGTTTTCATAAGACAACAGTCCACAGCAATAGAGAATAAAAAAGAACGCTTGCATGTAGGGAAGATAGAGTGGACGAAAATGTCAGCAGCAATTTGTGATACAAGAGAGAGTGAAAAGCTAGTTTATCAGGTAAATGAAAAGGACGTAATAAAAGGTGCTCTGCTGTTGTCCAAATTTGTATAACAAAATTAGTTCAAAAACTAATAATGAGGAGCAGCGCATTCAAATATGTAATCAAAGCGAGCAAGCATATAACAAGGATCAATGCCTATAACAGTCACAATTAAGTCATGCTTTAGGATAACAAAAAAATCATGCAATATATTTATTAACAGTTAAAGGTTGTGTTTAGATTGAATTAAGCCTGGGGTGGTGGAACTTCTTGGATCACAATTCGAGAGACTGAATTCCATCCACTGAAGGCATCTGCATTGGAATATCCCTGACAATTACCGACATAGAAACCAACATTAACAGTACCACTGTTGATGTTACCACAATATCCCTCGATATGACGATGACGATGAATATTCCGTGTTCCTCTACCTTTCCATATGTAGTAAACACCTTCAATTGTAGGATTACATTCTTTTCCATTGAATTTAAAATACCATCGCTTGCAACACGCGTCGCAGTTGTAAACACGGAGGTTGCCGGAGTAAAACACGCGAAGATAGGTGTTTCCACGTTTTTTCTTAAAACTACATAACTAGAAAAGCAAATCAACACAGTTATAATATTAATGAGGCACAAGTGACAACTTATTGCTTTTACTTTAAGTGCAAATTTCTCATTTTAAAAAGGAAGAGTATCTGCATCAAAAAAAAATATGTCCAATACAACATTACTTGGGAAATTTGAAATGAGTAATTAAAAACATAATTCAAAAACACAGATCCCATATTATGAATGTTGTCTTTGAATGTTGCGCACAAAGGGACTGGGATATAATTTATCCTTTTTTCTATCTTGCCTAAAACCGAACGAAAATCAAAATAGATTTTGTGTGAAAAAATGTCGTATTTCAAATGAGGGTACGTCAAAATACATTGTAGTAATTATGTTAAAATTTAAGACTTTGACAAGCCATCATATTCGTTACATTTGTGATCTAAACTGTTTTGTAAAAATTAAAAACCAGCAGTTTTTGTTAAAATTGTTATTTTAATAAAAACAAATAACAAGCTGCCTCGCGCATTGCGTTCACATTAACTCTAGATTGGCCACTGGTTTGATTAAGACAAAATTCTGATTAAAAACGGAATTAAATTTAGTTTTACAACTTACAAGTAGATCTGGACTCACATTTGCTCAGAACTTTTTAGAATTGAAGCAATTAAAGCCAAGAATTAACACAAAATACATTATCGTATGAAAGAAAATTGACTTTTGAAGTGTAACAAAGTTCGTTGTATCTGTACATCATGTGCATTTACTTTCAGTTTTATCAAGCCAGTTTTGCTATGTGCCTGATAAAGCTCCTCTCAAAAAATTTAATTTTTTTTGTCTTTAACTTAAAAAATACAAAATTTAGAGATTGTTAATCAATAATGAAGTTTTCTACCACAGCGGAGTGAGAGTTATGTTCACAAATTTTAATGTTTAAAAAGAAGATTTCAAACTTTATGAGCTTATTGTTGATTTTTGATTGATCAAATTGTAATTTGTGTCAAAACAAATTAAAAGTAAAAACAATAAAACGCGTGCAGTGATTGATGTATAGCCGTGGCTGTATTAGCCAGTGCAAAACAGATCTTAGCTCCACCAATCAAATCAATCAAAACAATCAATTAATCAAATCGATCATGAATACATTTTAAAATTGCTTTTTCGCATTATTGTTATTTTATAAAAGAAATAGAAGAATTTTTTCGTGTTTGCACTGGCTTTTGCAAAACTTTGGAGATTTGCAAGAACTTTCGAGCATGTGCAACCGTTGACCTTTAGTCTCGAGCTTGCGCTGATCTGCTCTTGAGTTCTCCCAAAGGTCTCCTCAGTTTGCATAAGCCTGTGCAAACACAGTAAACATCTTTTATTTCTTATAGGAAATAACAGAACTAAGTTGAATAAAAATATTACATTGCGATCAACTACGATTTTTTGAAATGATTTTGTCATATAAGTACAAAATTTCAAATAGAACTGCAAAGCCTTATATTTTATTAATGTAGAAATAATTTTCTCCTTCAAACGAAACATGTCACGTTAGCGCAAGATAAGACTGAAAATGTATTACAGCTGTCAATGACCCACTGACTTAATTATTACCAAGAATTAATTATGTATAATGATAACTGCAAAATCGATCATTAACTAACTATTTCAAAAATATTTGTAATAATTATTTACCTTTATAAGTCCATTATCTCGATTATCGTTGTTCTTCCAAGAGCACTGCTTCCAGTTGGATTCACTATTAACTCCTGCAGCGCCTTGTATACCAGCTTTCCCTTTTTCACCCTTTGCACCAGTCCTTCCCACACCACCTTGGACTCCTTTGTCCCCTTTTGGCCCTGATGGACCTATCTTTCCTGGCTTTCCATCACTTCCACTGTATCCTTTGGCTCCTGGCACCCCATTATGACCTGGAACTCCAGGTACACCAGGCACACCAGGTACACCAGGAACTCCAGGTGAAACACAACTAGAATTGCATACATTTGGTTTCTCGGGAAGACGTCTTGGTACTCGTATTTTCTGAGAAAAGTTTATGAATGAGCATGATATAAGTTTACTTGAATATGCGTAAGCACATATTTTAAGCTACCAAAACCGACGTTGTTTTGATGAAATGTGTTTGTTATGTGTTGCTGTATCGGCAGTGGCGGATCTAGGGTAGGTCAAAATAGATTACTGCAGCACATTTTGGAATATACTTACATTTCCAAGCCCCTTAGAGACAAGATAATCGCTAAAATTATATTCTTTCGAAGTTTAAAACCAATAGCGTTTTCCTGAAAGTACTTTGAATTCAAAATTAAGCTGCTATAATTTATTTTGACTAACGCTGGATCAGCTATTGCTGTATCGTACTAAATTTCTTATAGGAAGTTGGTCAAAATACCTTGTTGACTTTACCGTTAGATTTACATGAAAATGAACAATTCATACTGTTAGTTACCTTGCGAAGATGTTTACATAAGAAATGAAGGAAAACTTAAAAACGTTTTTTGAAAATCGGTAGATAGATTCGTATGTCTTAAATCACAGAATTACGAACTGCATATTTTTCTGATTTTCAGTTATTTTTCATTTTCAAATAAAACATATTTTACAAACCTCGAAGCATACTGCATTTTGTAACTTACAACATTTAACTGTGTAATCTATGAGTGTGCTTGGCGTGTCGTAAGCTGTGCTATATTTGAAATAATCGTTTCAATCTGATACGAGTTTTTGATGGAAAACGGAAAACTCTGTGTGCATTTGAGAGCTTAGCGCCAACAAAATTTAGCTACTAAGAAGCATTACGCTTCTATTTTCAAAAAAATATATAGCCATGATATATGTATTTTAAGCTGAAGTTCAGTAAATACTAAATGTACATGACACTGGCGTTGCATGCAGTAAGTTACTTTCGTTTCGACGAACAAATAAAACTTAGAAGTGAATCTTCCAATGCAAAAGACATATTTTTGAAAAAATGAAACTTAAAATTGTATATGCATTTCCCTTGCATTCTCTACGAATTAAAAGTCAGTTTTAGGGCATGAGAGGAGGTGGGGGAATGTTCAGACGACTTATATGTGCATACGAAACGCCTGTATACATACTGAGAGTATTTCTATTTAGAATTTATAAAAGAGAGCTCTTATGCAATTGGAGGCAACAATAGCAACAACATGCACAAACCGGTAATTTTTGTGGTGGTGCATACTTTTTAAACAGGTTATTCTTAACTCATGGGACTTACATTGAATTATTTTGATATACCCTGTGATAAATTGAAAAATGCAGCCCAACCTCTTGATACCTACCATGATATCATCAACTTTGTCGTTAGATTCAACTAGGTGCATACTCAAAGCAATAACATAACATAATGCTATCGGTATAGACTTCATCATTTATAAAAAGGACAATAAATTCTTTTTGTCCTGCCTGTGTAATCTTTACTTTTTAAGCAGTATGAAAAGAGTCAGCAAGCTTAGATCAAGCTCTTTCAGCAACCTTAGATCAAGCTCTTTCAGCAATCTTGTCCAATGTTCAACTGACTAGATTGTTAGGGAGTGTTTCCATTTTGTATAATATATTAGGGAATCTTTCAGCGTAATCACAACACCTTAAGAGACACTTAGACTTGCACATCCGATTGATACGCGTGTACCCGAGAATACAAATTTAGATGTGACTTAACATCCCTTCACAACCCTTATTGAAATTATATATAAAAATATATCATCCCCTTATTGAAATTATATATATTAAATCCCCTGAAGAGTTAGCAATCACAAAACAGGCTTGTGGGATGAATCTGTAGTTTTCGCGATTTTTTTCAACATCACTACACATTTATAAATATATATGTATAAAAATGAAAGTTTTTCCGGATTGTATAAGTGTCAGCAAGGTTATATCAAGCTCTTTCAGCAAACTTAGATTAAGCTCTTTCAGCAACCTTATATCAAGCTCTTTCAGCAAACTTAGATTAAGCTCTTTCAGCAACCTTAGAACAAGCTCTTTCAGCAACCTTAGATCAAGCTCTTTCAGAAAGCTTAGATCAAGCTCTTTCAGCAATCTTGTCCAATGTTCAACTGACTCGATTGTTAAGGAGTGTTTTCATTTTGTATAATATATTATGGAACTTTAAGCGTAATCACAACATCTTAAGAGACACTTAGACTTGCACATCCGATTGCTCCGAGTGTACTCGAGAATACAAATTTAGATGTGACTTAACATCCCTTTAAACATCCCCTTATTAAAATTATATATATAAATATATCATCCCTTTATTGAAATTATATATATTAAATCCCCTGAAGAGTGAGCAATCACGAAACAGGTTTGTCGGGATGAATCTGTAGTTTTCGTGATTTTTTTCAACATCAATACATATATATAAATATACATAAAAGATAAAAGTTTCTCCGGATTTTGTATGATTTTTATTGAGCAACGATTTTTATTAGACGCTCTAAACGTCTCCAAGCTAAAAGCACATGTAAATAAATATCCTCATTCTGATGAAGGATATTTATTTACATTCCTCGAAGCAACGAGTCGAAAGCTCAATAAAAATCATTCAAAATCCGTAGAAACTTTTATCTTTTATGTATTCAATGCCTGGATTACAAATTTTCAAACTTATATATAAATATATATGTATAAAAATGAAAGTTTCTCTGGATTGTATAAAATGATTTTATTGAGCTTTCAACTCGGTGCTTCGAGCCTTCATCAGAAAGATATAGGAAATTATATGCAGTTGTTTCTCATTTGTAGACGCTAGGACATCTAATTGTATTAGCGGGTGGATTAATGTGATTGGATGGTGTGGAATGCGTTGTCATACGTTTTCGTGTATTGTGAACATGATTGGTGTTAATATTATTAGAGTGTATTGTTGTAGTTTTGGTGTTGTTTGTACTTTGCAGTTTTTTTGTCCTTTTTCTTTAGTTGAGAGTATATGATAGGTATGTCAATATGTCTGTTTATTGTGTCGTTGTCTTTACTGTACCAAGCTTCTTTAAATTCGCGAGCGTGTTTTGTCTGTGCGCGTCCGAGTACTTTAGTTTCTGAACAGTCAAATGTGTGGTTGTTTCCGTGGGTATGTTCTGCCGGTAGTGAGTTCGGATCTCGTCATTTTATGGCGTTTTCGTGTTCTGTGAGTCTTGTTGTTTCGATTTTCTTAGATGTTTGTCCTACGTATTGCTTTGAGCAGTCTTTACATGGTATCATGTAGATCGCGTCAGTTGTATCATGGATTGTTGTTTTGTCTTTATGTTTGGTGAAACATGATTTGAGTTTTTGTGTAGGTTTGTGTCGCGACGTTAAAAGTAAATGGTCGAAGAAGTCTGGCAGTCCTTTCTGGTGTTCCGTTTATATGTAATGTGACCATTTTAACTGTTTCGTCCGGTTTCTTGTTGCTTTTGTCGGTTTGTGTTTGTTTTGTATTTTGTTTATAGTTTTGTTTATGATGAAGGCTCAAAGCACCGAGCTGAAAGCTCAATAAAAAAATCATTTTATACAATCCGGAGAAACTTTCATTTTTATCCATTAAATACGCCTAGACTACAAATCTTTAAACTTATAAATATATATATATAATATACAAATATATTTATATTATCGTACATCAATACATTATACACACGTCGTCTTATGATTGCTAATACGCAATGGTGTAAAAATAGCTTAAACAAAGCATTAGGTGCTACTGAGCACTTAATCTTCACCTAACTACTTCAGAAGCTCCAAATACTCAAGTTTGTGATTAATGCATGTCTGCATTAAGAGAATTAAGAATTTCAACCAATTTTCTGCCTTTTTCTTTGCAAATTAATTCATCATAAGAATAATTTCATTGCAAGTCAAATTGTACAATCGTCAGATTTTCTATTAAAAAACAAGCCTCGATTCCACCTTTGCAACATTCGAAATTACATTGTTGAGATGTAATACCTTGTGATGTAATAAAGCATACACTGATTGCAAACAAGTTGTTTATTGAAATGTGTAGCTAACCTAACATATTTAAAATATTGCTTAGCTTGTTCTTAATATGCACCAAGTATATCTTAGGCCCCATTTACACTATACCGGTTACTATCGTATCAGGTTAGATTTCCTTTGTACTAAAAGGCAGTGAATTTGTTCAACGTCAGAAGCACAGTCAAATAGACTAAATCTATCAACTTAATAAGCCTCTAGTCCGAATAGTTAACCCTTTAAAGAAAATGAAGATATCGTGATGAGCGAACCGGTATAGTGTAAACGCAGCCTTAGTTTTAATTTGAATGATAGCGTGCTTGTGTAGGATTTTCTTCCAAACGTAAGTCCTCGTCAAGCATAAGAGTACCTGTTTGACTCATAAGTACCTGAAGTACATACTGACGTGCAAACTCGTTTCTTGCAACGTCAAACACAATATAATATAATTTGAAAACTCATTTCCTCTGTTCTACTTGCCAAGCACTTTTTTCTCTTCTTTGTTTTGAATACATATAAGCAATACACCGGAAACGTGCTCTCGTAGACTGGAACAAAAGCGTCTTTCTCACCACACGACATTAAAAGGATTGTAAATAAATCTTTGTTAAAATTTATTTTGGGATGTTATGCTGAAAATAAACATTCTTTCACCTTTCGAGAGGTAATGTAACGCATTTTCGACATGCAGGAATCGCCTTCAATTTTCAACCCCCTTTCCAATTTTTTCCATCATACAATCCTCGACTATTTAACCTCACTATCGACATGATCTATAATTAATGATAGCTAATGAATACTATTTTTTAAAATAATGCTATTCATTACCAAATTATACTTTCTCGCATTGTTTTCCGATCCTTTCGCACAGTCTTTGTCACTGTTTCTGGTCCACCAAAATCAGCGAACACACCACAACTGACAAAAACTGACATATCTATCGACACCTTTTAAAATCACCTTCACGCAAAACTTACTATTCACCTCTTAATTTAAAGTCATCGACACTGCAGGTGCTACATTCTCACTTATAATCAAAGAAGCTTTTCACATTAACTAAATTAATCCTAGTCTCAACGTTCAAGCTTTTGGTTTTAAAACTATATTCAGCTTGTGACCGAACTATAAAAAGCTTTGGCAGAAACAACAGTTTAAGTTCTATGCAATAATAACACGAGTGCGCAACATAAATCTTCTCATATTCCCTGCCTCTTTTTAAAAATCTTCTAAAATGTGACGTCTTACCTGGAAAACATCTCACTCGACTGCCAAAAATCGAGATGTTTGATTGAAATCGTAGTCAAGTGAAATCGTAGTCAAGTGAAATGGGGGTCAAGTGAAATGGTAGTCAAGTGAAATGGTAGTCAAGTGAAATGGTAGTCAAGTGAAATGGTAGTCAAGTGAAATGGTAGTCAAGTGAAATCCTAGTCAAGTGAAATGGGGTCAAGTGAAATGGTAGTCAAGTGAAATGGTAGTCAAGTGAAATGGGGGTCAAATGAAATGGGGTCAAGTAAAATGGTAGTCAAGTGAAATGGTAGTCAAGTGAAATGGTATTCAAGTGAAATGGGGGTCAAGCTAAATGGTAGTCAAGTGAAATGGTAGTCAAGTGAAATGGGGTCAAATGAAATGGGGTCAAGTGAAATGGTAGTGAAATGGAATGGTGGTAAAGTGAAATGGGTGTGAAATGGAAAGTGGAAATTAAGTGAAATGGAAGTGAAATGGTAGTGGAAATGGTAGTAGTGAAATGAAAGGAAATGAAATCAAGTGAAATGGGGTCAAGTGAAATGGTAGTCAATTGAAATGGTAGTCAAGTGAAATGGTGGTCAAGTGAAATCGTAGTCAAGCGAAATCGTAGTCAAGTGTGGTAGTCAAGTGAAATTGGGGGCAAGAATAGTGTGCTGCCTCGCTCACGCTTGGCAGCAATGAAGTAGCTATATTGACTCCACTCCTTACGACTTCATCACTCAATATCTCAAAGCAAATTGCAGCACAAATGAACCCTCCAATACAACTCCATGTATATAAGTAGCGAATCTAGCGTTAAAGAGCAGCTCATTGATTGGTACGATATTACAATTTGCCAACACACAATCAATAATATCTTCAAAAAGATATTCGAATTTATAATGAGTGGACTGTTACATCCGCTATTGATGTAAATAGGTTATAATTAATTTACAAGATTCAAACATCATATTTTTAATGATGTGCATTGTTTGTAATCTCTATGGATGTAACAATGTCTGACGATGCAAGTAAGCTAAATACGTTATAAAAACATCAGTTGTATTTATTCAAAGCAGTGAACTGTTTTACGCGAGGGAACTATTTAAAAACACGGACACAAAAGAATATCTTATATGGGCACCTGCTGACGACGTCAGAAATTGTAGAACTCGAGGTGAGTTTATGCTTGAAAGATTGAAAATCTTAAAATTAAAATAACAACAATAGGACACAGTTGAAATGTTACATACATGATAGATATTCAAAGAATGAAACAATCGATTTAATTCACGTTTACTTCGAAAATATCTTGATATTTCATTGTTAT